TCTCTTTACACAAGTTCCCTCCTTACTTTCCAAGACGTCTCCYGCGGGATTTAGGCGAGGGGGATAAGGCAGGAGCCTCCAGCTCACATGCTGAAATACCAGCCTGGTTGCAACTGCACAAATAAATATAAATGCAGAAATGACCATTCAAGAAGATGTTTCTACATCTGTGGAGAGATCAGACTCCAGGCTCAGCCTTATTGCCCTCTGTAATCCAGATTCATCACCAGCTTCCTTTATTCACCCATTCAAAGGCACTTAATTAGCTGAAGGGCTTGTTGCTTTGCCTTCAAAAGCTCTCCACTCCCTCAAAGGCCTTGCTGGGGTATTGTGCTCCCATTGCCCTTTGAAATCAAATCTGTTTTTCTTCTTCACGGCATTAGCGAAAGAAGAAAAAGTAATATTTTAAAAAATGAGAAGGCGGGGGGGGGAGGAGGAAGAGGGGAAGAGAAATAGGGAAAGAAAGAAAAAAGAAAGAGAAAGAAAAAAGACATAAAGAAAAAGAAAGGAGGAAAAACCAAGCGGAACTTCCTTCAAAGTGGCTTTAAAGATAAGTTTGACACTTAAAGGAAGCGCAGGGGGGGACAGGCTGGAAAGCACCGATGAAATCTGGGCAGCCCTTCTGGACTCATTGATGCACGATGCTGTAGCTGCCCTACACGCCAGGAAGGCTCCTTGCAACACGCCGGTTCCGCCCGGGAATCGCGGCCCCTCGGCAGCGCTCACCGCGTGCAGGCTTCCCCGGGCAGCCCCGGCCTCGCTGAGTGCGGGACGCCCAGGAAGCAGCCTGTGCTATTAGCATTTCTATGTTTAAATTTTAAAAAGCTGTATTTTGTATTGCAACATATTTATTTAACCTTTAACATCAAAGCYCTGGGTCAGTTTGCTCTCTATAAGAGCGCATTTCATCTTCAGTTTTGTTTCTATATTTGGAAAGCTCATGCTCAGAAGCAAGAATTTTAGTTTAATTTTTTTCCTTGTATATTTAATCTAGCTCAGGGGCATTGGTGTTTCTCTGCAACCTATAATTTACATTGCCAACTCAGATACTGTATTTCTGCTTTTACCACAGTCAAAGAAACACTGTCAAGTCCTCTTCTGAGTTTTTATTTTAGTCTTCCCCACACTCTTTGCTATCCACTATCTCTAACACAGTCCACATATCACAAATACAGCTATCAGTACTGCAAATTGTATCATTCTCTCCRTTCCTGCTCCTACCTTTCTTTCCTCTCCCATCATTTTTGGCTTTGGAGCTGAAGCAAATGTCCCCTTCCTTGCCTGGCAATCCCATGCAGCTCTCCGGATGCCGGCAGGAATGCAGCRAGCTCCAGGAATAGCTCGTTTGGTTGCTACAGAGCAACTGGAGCTCAGCAATGCCTCATGTGCCACACCCCAGCAAAGGCCCTTTATCATTTATGCCCCCCCAACACAAGCTGTGAAGTTGTGTTTGTTTTTAAACAATTTCCACACGCAGCAGTGGGCACTGCTGCCCTGAAAACTTAACCTGAGCTCTGGAAACTTAACTCGGATGAACTTGGGGTTGGAAAACCAAGAGCCAAACAGCTCCCTTTGCACCAACCTGGATTCACCTACAAAGGCCATGGGCTCCTCTCTCTACCTTTGAGACCCCCATTTCTCCTCTTACACAGCAGGTAGAAGGGAGCAGCTCTGGCGAGTGCACTGATGTTGTATCAGCGCAGCTGAAGGGAGAAACGGGCCCAGTATTTCCAACATGCCACAGGAGCGGATCTGCACGAGCACCAGGGAGATGCCCAACTGCTCAGCCTGCCTGGGCAAATGCAGCTTTTCCTGCATCYAGAGGCTGCCAACAGCAAGTGGCTGAGTGTTAAGCCCAGTCTACACCATGGGGTGGTTGTGGAGCCTGTCTTTGACCGGCATTTAATACCATCCTTATGTTGTGGATTTATGAGTCCGGACCTTTGAGTGTAATTTCACCCGGCGAGCACTGGTACTACAGGAGTAAAATGAAAGCCTGAACATATCCACAAGGTAAATGTTAGCGCTACGGGGCTTTACAATATCTCACACCGCAAACTGTCAGTGCCAAAATCAATATCTGTCAATGCTCAGCAATAAAGACACAGCGCTTGAGATGTGAAAAGATTAGATGTTATCAAATCTACCAATTGCTCAGGCAATATGGGATCTGGGGTGAAGACTGATTAAGCTTAAGAGATATACATTAAGTGCAAAAATCATACAGCTGGGAGGCACTAGCAGTAGCCCAGCTTGTGGAATGTATAGTCTTCGCTTTAATATGCATTAAAACAAGAGCAAAAAAGCTCACCCTTCGGGTCTATGTCACAGCCAGCGCTCTCTTCCCCATGTTGCTCTGCCTGCTACAAGGATCAAATTTCATGGTTTATTGTTCTCCCTCCAACTGGCCACCATCCACATTCTTTTTTGGCACAAAGCTGCACCTCTTGCTCAAAAGAAGAGAGCACTATGCCTTCTTTTTATAAATTTTAGTCACATTTACAAACACACACAGAGTATGKAGATGACTTTTAAACACTAAACAACATTCCAGGGAATGCTGTTATTTTTCTCTCAGCATATTTCTGCGATTGAGGTTAAAGATGGGAATTTTCCACCAGGCAGTTACTAATTTTTAAAGATGCAGAGGTTGTCTCCCTCCTCTCTTCTGAATCTTTAGCTTTCTGCCTTCTAATGAAACAACCGACCCATGTTTGAAAAGCCCTGTTCATCACCAGCYTCAGTACAGAGCTGCCACTGAGACTCTAAGAAGGTCAAATTCAGCTCTCAGACACATTGCTGGAAGTCAGGGAAAAAAAAAAGAAAAGAAAAGAAAAAAAAAAACCCCACTCTCCACTGAAGCCACTTCTGTAAAATGGAGTAAAATCTACACAAATCAAGCATGGTCCAAAATCTCAGAAACTACTGCAGACAAACAGCAGATCACAGGGCAGATTCAAATAAACACAGTAAGTATCCCAGACACTAGAAGAGGAGCCTAGTAATTAGAATATTTTCTCCATGTCATTTTCTTTTATTTTGGCACTCAAGGGCCATTTTTTCTTATATGCAATTTTCAATAAAATTATCCAAACCTAACAAAATGTTCTACTCCTGCAAACCTACCATCTTTCCTAGGCAGCTTAACAGACTGTAAAACTGAAGCACTGTCATTTGGTGTATAATTAATGTAATAAGTCTTACCTTGTAAAATCAGGGAGGCAGCATGTGCTTACCTAACTAGTCTGAAAACATAAACTGTTCAGCACCTGTAATCACTTTAACTGTCCTTGATCTTTACTGATAGTCCCCAAATTAAAACAACTCTCTGACAGTGAGAATCCACTAAAGCTTCAGCCTAGGTAGGACATTTGGGAAGTTGCTTGAAAAGAGGCTCTTTTGGCCAAGTCAAGAGACTCACTGCAGGAAATTTTCTTCTGGTTCTTCTTGGCTAATCAGTGGAGCAAGAGTTCAGAGGTGCAAGGCAAAAATGCAGYGTGGGGGAAAGCAGGGCACAGGAAACCTCAGGAATCCACTGGGGACGCGGCAAWTCCGCACACGCAGCAGGGGAGCCCCAGAAAAAACAATAAGTGCTCAAAGGTTATGGACGCACGATCAAAAGCGATGGTGCTCCTGCAGTTCAACAACTTCCCAACCGTGRCTGGAGATGCAGTGAGAGCCCATGGGCACATTCTCCAGCCTGCTGCCTGTACAGCAGCACTGCTCAAGCTGCAGCAACCACCACCTTTCCGTCACATCTYCATTCTCCTTGATCCCAGGGAGGCAAAATCCTCTGCTTCGTGTTTAAGCAGGGTCCTCCTCAACACAAGCAGGGCCCTCACATATCTAAAGGAACCCACTTGCTTCAGGCTTTTGTAGAATTAGGGGCTTTACTGGTAACTCTTTGAAGTGAACACTACAAGCAATGTTGGTACATGTTGTATCTTTGGGTGAGCAAATGGAATAAGCTACTGGCCCTTCCCAGCGACTGCTTTTGAGCAGCTGTATGAAGCAAGGGAGAAGAGAGTGGGCACAGGCTGGAGAACTGTGAGCMGATCCCCAAATGGCATGGAGGACACACACCTCATTAAGTTAGCGCTAAGGAGCTGCAATCCAGGAAACAGCCCCGTCTTTCTCATTGCTATCGTCAGAAAAGGCTCCACTGAGTCATCCGCAGTGAAGAAATCCAACCTTGTAAGATGGGATGAGCTAGCAGTGAAGAAGAACAATGAAAGCCAGGATCTGGGCTGTGTCCCCCAGCTCTGGAGCAGCTCCTGGCAGAGCCTCAGAGCTTCCCCCTTCTACTAGGTGAGAAGTCTTCCCGTTGCCAGTGCTTTTGCATTTACTGTCTGTGTTCGTATCACAGATTAACAAAGGGCGGGAATGGTCTTCATCCAAAGCAGGGCATTGCTCCCGGGAAATGCTCCCAACAGGTATTTCAAGTCTGCCTCTTTGATATTCAGGAGCTGCACTGTTTGACCTGCTGTCCATGAAGGAGTCATATTTTAGCTTCGCTTCTCAACCCACTTGGTCTTAGCTGGCCTCAGAAACAACATGGATGAATTTGGTCAAAGACATTATGAAAGAGAAATTATCCTGCAATGACTACAGAAAAGATGACGCAAAACGCATTACAGGAACATCTCTACTTTACAATACAAACTAAATAAGAACAACATCTATATATTTGAAAAAAAACATGTATGTCAGTGGTATGAAATGTGCTCTGCCTAATGTACTCTGCTTTTTGCCTAGCAGCRTGAGGTTCCCTGCTTCTAGAGAAGAGAAAATCCATGAATTACAGCACATTTCAATGGAAGAAACATATAAAACAACTTCTGAGAACTCCAGGATAATCTTAGCACCCTACCCTGCATAAACAGTGTTCACCCCAGAAGTTTAGAGGTGTCACATTTGAAACAGAAAAGAAAGCAAAAATCAGAAACCGAATAACTCAGCGTTTTCACAGAACCTCTGGAAGATACAAGCAGCCTTCTCACCTGTCTGTTTTGAGATGACAGAGCAGCGGGCTGCATGTGCCTCTGCACCCGATGCGGCTGCATCAGTTGTCGAAACTGCTGCTGGAGGAACTGGCTGTTGTTGGTCTGCGGGGACTGCTGCGTGGCTGGAGAATGCTGCTGTTGCTGCAGATAGTGAATGAGAGACTGCTGCCCTTGTCCGGCTGTCATGGGCGACATCTTTTGAGTGGAGGACTCTGAGGCAAAGTGAGACAGTGGTTTGGTGTTATTGAAAGAGAACTGCTCTTGGCTAACAGGGCTCTCGTTCACCAGACCCGGCTGTAAGCTACTGGATGGCTGTTGCATAATTATGTTCATGTTTTTGGACTGGTTTGGAGTCATTGATTTAAAAAGCGAGCTCTGCATACTCGTGGGGTTGCTGGTGGGGGTGATGTTAGAGATTAATGTACCTTGAGGACTGAAGGGCTGCTGGTGCAGAGCTGGGCTTGACAGCTTTTCAGGCCTGTAAGGCGGAGAAGGYCCAGTGTTTGTCGAGGCCATGCTGGCAACCATGTTGTTCTGGGGACTTTTGATGTTGTTGGGGGGGATGCTGGCGGACGTCAGGGTGGGCAGCATGGCGCTCTGGGGGCTGAAAGGCTGCTGGTTCAGAGCCGGGCTGGAGAGCTTCTCCGACCCGTAGGGAGGAGAGGGTCCACTGGACGGGGTGCTGCTGGAAGCCATGCTCGAGAGCAGGCTGTTCTGAGGACTCTGGATATTGTTTCCTGGCAAATTATTAGAGGCCATGCCAGACACCATGACATTCTGGGGACTGAAAGGTTGGTGGTGTGGAGACGATCCTGCCCTGTAAGGGGGAGAGAGCCCAGGAGGAGACATGGTTGGCCAGCTGGGAGCCTGAACTTGCTGCTTGGTCGTAGACACCTGCTTGCTTGCTGCGAGCTGCTTTAGCTGCTGCGCGTGCCAGTTGGAGCCAGGCATGTTGGGCAGGGGCACGGGAAGCATAGCGGSCGGCTGGCTCTTCCCCTGGGCTGCTGAAGAGATGGGCGACGCAGCAGGTTTGGTCGAGGGAGGAACTTGGAAGCTGGCTCCTGCAGATGATGGTCTCATCTGAGGAGATCCTCCGCTGGCGGGGTTGCAGCCTGGGGAAAAGTCTTTGTTAGCAACGTGGTTCTCCAAATGGGAAGTCTGCGGAGAGGACTTTGGGGTGGTACTGATGCTCGGCTGAGAATGACTCAGTCCCAGTGGCTCTTCAGCCTTGCTGCCCAAAATCTTCTCCAGATCCAGGTCATTGGGAGAAGGATCAGGCATTTTTGTCAGCTCTTCCAGCAGATCTTGCAGTTCTTGGTCCACGGTCTGCAGGTTGTTTCCTTTCTCATCATAGTGGACAATATTGTTATTCTGTCCTCCTATCGCGCCCTTCTGGCTTATTTCCGTGTTGGGTGGCACGGGGAAGGGAGAACCGATGCCRCTGCCGTTGAGGTGATTGCTCTCCAGGAGCACCGGGTGAGCCGCTACCCCCAGCGAGGCCGCGCCGTGGCTGGCGGAGAACGGCGAGCTCTGCATCTCCGGACACGCCACGCTGGGATTGCCGCCTTGGCCCATGGAGAGGGTTACGTCGTCAAGACAGAGCCTTTTATTGTCGCTGGGGAAAACGATGTCGGGCACGCCACCAGAGGCCGGGGAGCTGTCATCTTCCAGTTTTCTTTTAATGGATCCCTGTAGCTGGAGAAAAAGARAAAAGGAAGAAGAAAGGCTCTGTCATTGACCTTATTCCAACACGCTCTGAAGCTCCATACTTGAACACTGAGAGGGAGATACTGAAAATTAAATCACACAATTAAAAATCCAATCATGTGAGACAAATTCAATCAGGATTTAAGTGGGTGCAACTTCACTGAAATCAGAAGAGTTATAGTCACACAAAGGCTAAATCTGACATGTTGGTCTTAAAACAGATGTTAAAGCTATAAAATATTGTCTGTGATGTGAACTGTAATAGAAGTTTTTTAAATAGTTTCTGGTACCATTTCAATTACGACATTATACTCCCTGCATAGCAAACATACCATCGTTTTTATGGTAACATTTTTTAGGTCTAAACAACAGCACATCTGAATGAAATCACAGACTGAATTTAGTGACCTTCTGCCAGTAACTCAGATAAAATTCAGACCTAAGAAAACCAAATTGTCTTATGCTCTTTATAAGCAGTGCATCTGAAATAACTGGCACACTTTCTAAACAAATCAAACTAAAAAAGAATCTCAAGTATCTAAGCAGTTTTTCACCTTTCAAGCTTCCTAATCACAGATCTTTTAGATTTTACGAAACAGTCAATAACATCAAAAAAAAAAAAATTTATATATAAAATATTTTTAAATACATTTATTGCAGTATGGGCTTCATTCTGTTGAGGAACTGCAATTCACTCATAAAAATAGAAATGTTAATGTCACTGTCATGGTTATCAGGGGYTTGCAGGACTGTAAATCTTGGGAGAAAACCTTCCTTACACAGTGTATGTAAAGACAGTGAAACTGAAAACAATGTCTCTAACATTAATTCAGCGTGGTAGGGCAATCTCTCTTAAATATAATTATCTGTGGCTTTCATTCTTAACACCCACGACCTGTATGTCGCAGGATTAATCAGACATTAGCACTGCTGCTTCAACTTAAGAGAATTAGAATTATGTTCTTGCTTATCAATCGAGGGAGGCGGCATTCAGGAAAGGATCTAATCAGCAGTGGGAAACCCAGAGCGGGTCACTACTGCTCTTACAGGAAAGCCTCTCCCAGCCCCAGCCTACAATTAGAAGTGCCCCTAGTCATGTAGGGCCACGACAAAAATCCACATCCCAGAGCAGTTGCTACCATCCTGCTGCCTAGTCCCCGTGCAGCCCTGCGACCCCRGCGGCTGCGTGGGGTGCGAGTTGCACTGAATATTACACGTTCTCAGTTGTGCCTAAGAGTCACTGCTGTCAGTGGCAGCGGCCTCTGCGCTCCCAGACAACACGTGCAACCCCTGCAAGTGGATGCACATGGGAGGGCGCGTGGAAGCTGCAGGGAATGGGGCAGGAACGTCTCGAGCAGCCCGTGGTAGCGTCAGGTTTACCAAGGTATTTGGAGGAGTGTGAAAAGACGCTGGAGGACAGCGAGAGGACACGTTAATTCTACCTGATGATCAGGGCGCTGGTGGATGGAAAAGCAGGTCTGTGCACTACAGACCTGTGCATCAGGTTTTGGAAGGAATTCACCTACTCTCCATCAACAGATACAGAAGTTTTGAATGGTATTAACAGCAAAGAGCCCTTTTTACATGCCTATTTTCCATGTCTCCTCAAAATGCTGCCCCTTAGAGAAATCTGTGCTTCTGGGACCTCCCTTCTGCATTGCTTTAACCAGGGCTGTGCTTGAAAACCACTTGCAGGTCACAGCTGGTGCAGAACAGGGACTCTGGCTCTCGGTGGAACGGTCACCAGTATCCGACAGCTCAGCTGCCTGCTCTTCCTCCCCTCCTTGGCCAGCAGTGCTACGCGTGGTCCCAATCTTTGCTCTGCAAGAGACTGCCGTGGCACCACTGCCAGAGACAGCTAAAGCCATCAGTGACTTGATTATTCCTTGGGGTTGCTGCAGCCAACATTTGCTTAGCTTTAGGAAATGCAACAAGGCCTAAGTGTTTTCCCAAGCCTTGGTCTAATGATGGATGAACTTATTTTCCCTTATTTTCTTTGATAAAAATAAGGCAGAGTTGCATGTTTCAACAAGATGTTGTGCTGTGTATGCTGAAACATGTTGGTAGGGCACAACTAAACTCAGCAAGTATGGAGAATCCTAACAGGAGCTTCACACATCCAAAACAAACACAGGCTGATCCCAAGCTGCACCCTGGGAAATGTGGGGAGGAACTGCTGGGATCTCCTGCTCCTGGCCAGCTGACATGCTGGCATGCATGTCCTTGCCAGTGCTGCTTCTGCCATAGCACATTCCTGTGCTCTGAGTTGCTGCGGAGAAGTTCGGGCTTTTTAAACACTTAGAAAACATTTTTCTAACTGTTGAACTGGGAAGTGACTGTGATAGGAAAACAAAACTCCACTACTCCAGACTACTGTTACATATAAAAAGATAGAACAAGGCCATAGCTTTTGGAATGCATGGTTGTTCCAGAACTGGAAGGGGATCCTTTAAATAGGATGCTGTTGGCTAGCCCTCCTGAGAAGAGGTACAGTGAAATTAGTTGGTTTTATATTCCCTTGGAAAGTAAGACTTCTATTTCTCTGCTGAATATTTGCACAGAGGGACCATTAAACTCAGAAAAACAGCTTTCTTCAATGTAGACAGGTATAACTCAATAAAATTCAACAGCGTTGGGTTTGCTCAAGATAGATGTGACTAGAGGCTGGTATTTGAGAGAGAAAGGTAACATGAAATGTTATGAAATGGACTAAACAAATCATAGCAAAGTTTTGGTTGGAAGGGTCATCTGGGGATCACTAGCCTTCTGCGCTAAGCACATCACAAATGAAAAAAAAAAAAAAAAAGAAGACAGTGTTTTACTAGGCACTTGAGTATGAATTGCCAACCAAGTACAGAAACCTCTCCTTGGCTGGGGAAGTAGCTAAAAGGTTTGCTTAAATATTCCACATGCAAACACACGCGACTGCCACTCTCCTGCAGCACGTTGTGCGGTTGCTACCTCCTGCCTGCTGCACTTGCCTCCCCAGGTCCCCAAGTCCCTTCGAATGCTCTCCATTAACATGCCACAGCRGCAGTGTGACAAGTGCAGGGGAGCGACACGCTGCTCCTCATGATGGGGCCTGAGCTTAGAGACTTGCAGCAACAGCAGCAGCAGATCATCRGAGATGTGCGAGGACTTTTAGGACCAGGAGCCTCTGATCTAACTAACTTGAGAATCGGCTGTTGCAGATCCTTATCATTCTCCCAGTTACTCTCAGACATCTTGAGACCCTCCTCTTAAAGCCTATGTACCCTGGACCTCCTAGGAAGGACSTGACTTACTCCAGTTCTTTCTCCCGTTTTCTTGAGACAACTMCTGCTGTATGACCAGGACAACAGAAATGAGGAGAGCACCAAAACATGCTCTTCCCTTTCTCAGTGTACTCGGCAGCCCTTTTTTTTTCAAATTAAACACCTGAGAAGTGAATATAAACATTTTCATAAACACATAAGCACATGCAGGACTGGCTGAGGACTGAGGACTGTACATGATAACAGCATGAAAGCTTCATTCATGCACAGCAGGAAGGACTAAAGCAGACAGGCGACGAATGGGCTCTTGTGACCTTGTCAAAACTGATTAAAATGCATTAGCATGCACACAGTAACTTCCGTCCAGGAATACTAGGAAACAAAGGTGGGTCCTCTGATTTGGGGAATATCGGATTGTGAGGTCCCCATTACCTCAGGTCTGCTTTTAAAGGCGAGACTGACACGACCCCAGCACTATCACCACCTCAAAATGAAAAGGCCGTGGTTCTGGGAAAGGCCCCAGTTACAAATGAGTCGCGCTGCCTGCTCATAATGGTAGTGTAACAAGAATAAATAATAACTGTTTACACTGCTCCTTCCAAGGAAGCTGTACAGCTGTGGTTGCAAACATCTAATTTGTCACACACTACCTCTCAGCGCAGAGTAGCGCTCTCCGTGTGGGCAGAGCTCTCCGCGGGCTTTCTGCTGCGCAAGGAATAAACGGCAGACGTGGCAAACTTAGCGAGACCGAGACCTGGCTCTCTCTGTTTGCCCGTCCCACAGAACTTGGGRCATGAGGCGCTTTTCCAGCACTGGGCTGGTTAAAACAGATTTCAGCAGCCCACTGAAGGGGTTGCCTTGCCCCACAGTTGCTCGTCTTCCTTTCTCTCCGTAACATATAAGCCGTTCCCTGTTCCCATGCCCGCCCTCCACGCGAGCCCGCCTGCCCCGTGGCCCTGCTGCCAGCCTGTCAGTCCTCCAGCCGCCCCTCGGCCTGCAGGATATCCGGGAGGGAAGAGGCACCGCGGCCCACACGGGTGAGTGGGGGAGCCGGCCCGGCCGCGCTGCCACCGCGTTCGCCTAGCCCCACCACCAGCCAGCTCTGCAGCACGGGCACGACGTTCCTATCTAGGTCAGCGCAGCAGCGAGGACAAGGGCTAAGCGAGGTAGCGCGGCGCCCCTGCTGTGAATCAGGGGGCCGAGCCCGGCCTGCAGCAAGTGCTGGGCACCCATCGCCGTCTCCGGCCACCCTGCCCGCCCCAGCGGCTGCCAGCGCGCGAGCCGGGCGTGGGGGTGATTCCCACAGCCGCGCGGCCTCCTCGAGCGCRAGGCGGCCCAGGGAGGCGCTGCCATTTTGCGGCCGCCTGCGCAGGGACCACGCGGCGCTCTCCCTTCGTGTCGAGGTCAAAGCGATTGCTGGGGACTCTCTTGTCCTAAAGCATAGCATGAAGCATAGCGAGCCATGAGCAGGGTGTCCCTGTCTTCCCTGGGACACCCTGGCAACCCTCTGGGCTGGCTTTTTCTGTTTGCTAAAGGAAAGAGAGCAATGACTATAAAAAAAGATGAGAGAAGGTGGGTAGAGCTCAGGGTTTCCTCACAGACGTTGGGATTTGCTGGCAGATACTACAGCAAGACACCAGCGCGTTCAAAATCTGGGGACACCAGGTCTGCCACAGGCTTAAGATTCAACATATCCGAATAGTCCCGAGAAAGAGTGTGCGCAGCCTCTGGTGG